CTCACATTTGGAGTATAATCTGGTTTCTGCAACACATAATGAGTTAATACACCTTTTGCTGCTAGTATGAAATATTTTACTGGTTTAACCTCCAAACTGGATGTTTTCCACCTTAAAGACTTTATGATAACCTCTAATGAGTTTAACTTCTGTCATAAGATCAATAAGACTTTCTCTAGGCTGAAAACAATTTTAGAAAAAAAACTTATAAAGTGTTTCTGGAGGTCAGAGCCATTACTGTCAGCATTTTACAGCATCTAGGTGCCAAAATAACCAAGTACATATAAATACTCGTTGCAAATAATTAATGTGGCTCAGTGAATCATGTGAGTTTCTGTTTTTGTGATTTATTGGAGTTCTTTTCTTTCCTCTGTGCCATTTGTAAAACTAGGTCAGTTATTAAAACCCTGTAACCCAAATCTTGTTTAAAAATCCCTGCATATATTTTAGTTTTACAAAATGGAAAATAAAGAACATATAAGGGAAAACTCTCCATTTTTAAAGGTTTAATGAGAAATATTTTGTTTCCTACATTTATCAGCTGAACAGAAAGTTGAACAAACATTTAAAGAACTTTGTTTCTTTCCCAATATTTATTTTTTAAATGACAAGTAAATAAAGCATCTTTGTCACTTTGATGGAGATTTTTAGATGCAAAATATTGTTTTGGTTTGAATTGCAGCTACAACTAGAATGAAATACACCTAAATAATTTTCTTTACATGCATTCTTAAATTTAAAGAGGATTTATTTGCTGTGCATCCCTTCAGATGAATTGAATTGACTGTTTTTCAGGCAGGTTTACATCAGAAAAGATAGATTACTGTATAACTACTGAAGTAATTCATATGTAAAAATGCTTTTCATCTGTGTTTACTCCATGAATCTCAACATGTTTGTTCAAATAAAAAAACTGTGTGCTCCAAGCATCCAGCCTCTTGCTCTCTTCCAGCGCGACGCGCAGTGGCTGCATTCTGCTTTTCAAATCTCTGCTCAGCAGTTGAGGAATTGTTGGAGCGTCGAACAATGTGAAATGTGTTCATGACAGAATATATCCCCAGTTTCTGCATTTCTGTCCGAATCGCTTCTAAAAGCTGCTGCAAAATCTCCCTGGAACAAAAAATACATCTGATGAAGGCGAACCGATTTACTTGTGTAAAAACATTAAAACTGCACTTTTGCTGCTGCATTTCTCTGAACAGAATCTAAATTCTCAAAACTACTAAAGCAGTTTATAATTTCTGTGAACAAGTTTCAGATGCTTTTGGACATCCACTCAATTTTCTGCTTCTTACTTTATTTTTAATTTCTTTTAACATGTTAATCAAAGTTTACTATCTATTGAAGAGTCTCAGCCTCCACATCATTTGAGGATGAGGTTGTCATATTATGTCAAACATAGTTCTATACATTTCTATTGGAGACTTTTTTTCTAAACCTGTCCTGAATTTGTAAATCGCTCCCAAATGAACCCTGAATTTCTCCAAGTGTATGTAGAGAATTCACTGTAAAAACACAAAAAAGTATTTTTGGTCTAGTTGGTAATAATTTGTGTTTTTACAGTGTTAGATCAACCAGTTTTCTGAAATAGCTCAAAGTTTAATCTCATGAACCATCAACTGGCTGGTATATCCATCCATCCATCCATCCATCCACCCATCCATCCATCCACCCATCCATCCATCCATCCACCCATCCATCCATCCATCCATCCATTTTCTTTACACCGTTGTCCCTTAGTGGGGTCGGGACTGGCTGGTATATACACTGCAAAAACAAAAAATCTTACCAAGTACTTTTCTACTGCAAATATCTTACTTGAAATGAAACAAATCTTTCTTACAAGTAACTTTTCCACAAGACATAGGAGCAATAATTCCTTAATACTGATAAAACACTAGTTCAATTGGCAGATTATTTCATATATAATTATAACAAGATATATTTTGCAGTGTAATTAAAGAAATAACCTGCCAATGGAACTAGTATTGTCATCAGTATTAAGGAATTATTGCTCCTATTTCTTGTTGAAAAGTTACTTTTAAGTGAAACAAGATATTTACTAAAATCTAGACCAAAACACTTGGTAAGATTTTGTGTTTTTGCAGTGTATCTCCTTATGAATGATTTAGAGAAGGAAACTTTCCTTTTTAGGTAACCCATGGAGTTTTGCTGTTTCAGAAATCCACTTACTACTTTTGCAAATATCGAGAAATTCACCATAAAACTGGAAGCCACGATCACTCCGCGGAGTGAGGGCGGAACCCGCCGCCACCAGGGGGCGCCACTGACACTTCTGTGTTCAGCTGTTGATGAAGACCATTGTTCTGTTGTGCAGATCCCTCAGAACCTGAGCATCATGCCATTGTCTCCCATTGTCTGCGGATGAAGCCGGTGGGAGGAGAAACACCAGAGAGACGCATCCAAACCCTCCGAAGGTTGGAAGGTTTTGTCACCAATTCGTGACCTTTTGCTCAACGAGACGACAGAAAAACGGCGCTTCTGTCATCCGACTGACATATTTTGATTAGATTTATTTATTTCGAATATCCCAATGTGGAAAATGGTGCAACCTTGCAACAAAAAAAGAAAAAGAAAAGAAAAAAGAAAAAACAAGCGATCTGGGATGTAGAAACAGGTATCAGTGAAGACAGGATGAACATGAAGGACAATTCTCCTCACTCACAATATATCTATATTTACGCAAAAAACACAATAATGGCGCTTTCCCCCCTTATTTTATTCCCACAGAGAGCATTGATGTAATAAAAGGAATAGTCAAGTGACTCTCAGGCGCAAACCTCTCATTATCCCATGGGCTATAATATTCTTTACACAGAATGTATTCATAAGCAGTGAACCGCGCAGCTGCGAGACAATGTGGCCTCTAGTTATTATATTTTGCACTCTGATCACCGATCATTGGTTGTTTGTTCCCTCTGTGGCTCTCAGATACAAAAACTCTTGTGTTTAAATCATCCAGGTGGTTCAGTTCTGCGTCAATCTGCGATTTCTGTTCAGAAAACACACATTTCTGCTATTTAAATCAATTAAATCCACTCAAATTGCTCATTAAAACTGAAACTTTTAGGGATTTAGAGTCAGGTGCGCACAGGCCCAGCAGTATTTTATCCACCGGTAATTTTAAACAAAGCAGCCCTGATGATTAAATGTTCCTATTAGTTCAGAGATTCAGTAAATAAAAAGCAACAGGAAGCAGCAGAGCATCAAAGAATTTAGTTATGAGACGATATTTTAGCATTTTCCTCAAATGCGGAACAGATAAACCCGGAAATTAAGGCAGTTATTGTCTTAATAATAATAGACAGAACTACTTGACAAAATTAAATCAAATTTATTTAGAAAATGTTAAAATTGTCTGTTTGAAATGAAATTAAAATAAAATAAAAGCTTTGTGACGCAAATAATCAACATTTGCTTGTTTTTGTTGGCATATAACTGCGTTTTAAAACTTTCTCACAGATCAGATCTGGAAACAAATATTACATTAATAATTAATTTTCTTATTTTACTTTACTGTAGTTTCGTTAACGAAAAATAAGTGTTAAGTTTCAGCGGAAACGCGATGAAATAATGAAAATATAAACGGGAAAAATAAAGTCAGTATTCCTGTAACAGATAAAAAGCTGCAGCAGATTGACTGAAGCGTTAAAAATTCACAATTATTGTTATTGTTACAGTTTTTATCTGCAACGTGGATCCAGTTTGAGCCTACAGTGTTTGCAAACATCCAAGCATCCATTCAGTTCTGATTACATATTGATAAAAACACTTATAAATATAGTTTTTGTTGTTTTTGTTTAATTATTAGTATCTAAAATGAGAGGAATTTAAATTTAATTTCCTGTTTTAGGCAAGCAGAAAGGTTTATAGTCAACATCCTGCTACAAGTAAGAAGATAATTAAATCCTTCAATGTGACAAATGAGTGCACACACACACACACACACACACACACACACACACACACACACACACACACACACACACACACACACACACAGGCGCGCACACACGCCGGTGAAGTTGTGCTTTCCGTGCTCCAGACTGTCCTCTCTGCAGCCTTTTCTTTGGAGAGGAACCCGCGGTCGCTTCCCGGCACAAAGCAGCGACGGGGCCCCTTTTGTCCCGACTGGGACCCCAGACCCCATCATTAACCCTGATTACCGCTGACCAGTTTGACAACCTTATTGACTGCTGGAAAGACTTTTTCATCTACTCTCCCTGTCGCCTTTGCTCTCAATAGAAACGGAAATATTTAGCTTTTTTGTCCCAGTGAGTTTGAAAGAGACGCAGAGGGGGAAAAAAAGAAGAAGAATCCTTTTTTATTTTATTTTCCATCAATGTTGGAAAGGAATGGAAAAAAGGGGCTGCGAGATAAACAGTAAAAGCAAAAATATTAGAGATTCTCACTTTAAAACAGGACAGAAAATGCAAATGTGCGCATCAGTTCTGCGCACTTCAGCGGAGTGTTGCTGAAATAATGATTAGAGGCTGCAGCGCCAATTAAAAGATTCATTGCGGTCTGATTACGCTGACGTCTTGGGAAAATGGACACTTGCACGTTTTAAGGAGGCGCATTTTTGTTGTTTTCGTGCATGCGCAGAGCAGCGGGCCAGGTTTTGCAATCTGCTGCGTTGTTTGATCTCTGTGATCTCTCCCGCGGATCATCCGGGTTAGTGAGCCGGCCTCTCGGTGACCTCTCCCTGTCACCCTTCATTACGGGACGCAGAGCATGTTGGCCAATTAGACCTCGCTCTGAAACGTGTCAGTGAACGCAGCACCGTGGCGTTAAAATCCCCCTCATCCCTCAAAAAAAAAAAAAAAAAAATCTCTCAAACCAAAACAGCCCAAAGTATTCCTAATTTAAAATCGAAAATCAACTAATTCTGCTCAAAAAAGAGGCTAAACTTACATCTTTCTTGGTCAACAGTTATTTTATTAAGTTATCTTTACCTTTTTATTTTGCTTTTTTTTTTGCTTTTTTTTTTACTGAAACACAATGTCACTAAAGCGCGCATGCTCAACAGGTTCACCTGTGTACAAGGTATGTATTAAAAACACCAAGCAAATGAATATGAAACTCGAAGAGACAATAGAGCAGATCGTTTTAAATAAGCAAATAAACATTATTTATAAAACTTTAAAGTAAAAATATCACAGTTCTTCTTTTCAACATGAAATACCCACAGAGAACAGCAGGTCAGGCCAGTTTGGATGGACACTCATCCCTCCTTTCATTCCTTCTTTCTTTCTTTCTTTCTTAATATATTTCTGTCCCTTTTTTAAAAATTTCATCTTCAAGAGCTATTAGTCCGTGAAATGTCCGGTTTCAGTTTCCAAGCAAACAAAAGTATAGGCCTGAAATGGCACCCACGAATGGCGGGTCCCCTCATGTTTTGGCAGCCGTCAAATGTCAGTGTATTTGTGTGTGTGTTTGTGTGTGTGTGTGTGTGTCTGTGTGTTTTAACTCGACGCAGGCACTGTTACTTGTTTTATTAGATTGTCTTTTCCCCCTTTAATCGGTCAGTTCGCGCTGCTCAGATGTCACATTCACTGTCGCTGGAGGTGATGGAGATGGCCGAGGCGGCCGCCTTGCTGGACAGGCTGGCCTCCGGGCTGGAGGAGTTCCCTAAGCGGTCCACCGTGCCGTCCTCATCCGCCAAGGAGCGAACCGAGCCGCCGGAGAGAACCTGCTGCTGTAGCCTGGCAAGCAGAAAGAGAGACGGAGAGGCGTAAAACTGGCCGCCATGATGGAAGTCCATCCGATTATCCATGGAAAATTAAGATAAAAATATTTTTAGAATATTTAAAAACTGATTTCATGAGATCTGTTTATTTTTCTTCCGTTATTTTTAGCTATTTTGATAAGTAAATCAACAATAACTGGGATATTTTAGCATGACTATCGCAAAATAATCATTATTAATCTGTGTCTCCACTGAAAATTAAAATTAAAATATTTTAGAATATTTAAGAAAATATTCTAAATTATTATTATTATTATTATTATTATTATTATTATTATTATTATATATTTTTTTAATTACACCTATTTTAACATTAAATTAGCTGCAATTTATTTCAGGATGATTATCACGACAATTCGTATTATATATATATATATATATATATATATATATATATATATATATATATATATATATATATATATATATATATATATCCTAATATTATGAATCAGGATTTACAATAATTGTAGATTGTTCTACAATATATATGCCCTTATTTAAATAAATGTTTTTTATATATTTATTTTTGGCTAAATTAGGATAAAAACAAAATTTTATTTAAAAAATAAATCTAAAAAAATTCTGTTATTATTGTTTCAGACACTGACTTACTAAGCAGAAATTAAATAAAAATAAAAATAAATCAGTGCAGCTTCAGTCACATTGGTATTTTTGAATTCATAATAAATTAAACATCCCAGTAAATTGGTGAATATTTCTACTCACCAATCAGCCTTTTAGTAAACTATAAACATACTGAGCTGAATTCTGAAGTGGGTTTATGTTGAGCGGTTCGGCCTGTTTTGCTAGCTGGTAAATTTGCCTCCAGATGCTTAAATCTTTAAATTTTTTTTATGTTAACCGGTCAGTGATGCTCCAGCTCACCTGTTCTTCGCAGCCGCCGCTCTGTCTCTTTGTCTCCGGTTCTTAAACCAGTTTCCCACCTGTGTGGGTGTGAGTCCAGTAGCCTGTGCTAGCTCCCTCTTTTTACTGGGGTTCGGGTACGGATCCTGCAGGTACCACTCTCTCAACAAGTGCCGGGTTCTCTCCTTGAAGCAGTGGGTCTTCTGCTCTCCGTCCCAGATGGTTCTGGGCAGGGGGAACTTCTTCCGGACCCGGTATTTGTCCACGGGCCCCAGCGGGCGGCCCCGCAGCTTCTCAGCCTCCTGGTAGTGCGCTTCCAGCCACAGCGCCTGCAGCTTCGTGTGCGACTCTTTGGTGAACTTGTGGTTCTCCAGGATGTGGTAGAGTTCGCGGAAATTGCCGGTGTGGAAGGCGACCACGGCCCGGGCCCTCAGCACCGACTCGTTCTTGTTGAGGACCTCGCAGGCCGCCGGCGCGACGGGCAGCGACCAGAGGAAGCGGCCGAGGCGCTCGACGTCGCCGCTCTCCTCCAGAGTCTCGCAGACCCCGGCGACCTGCTGGGGGCTGAAATTCAGGATGGGCAGCTGAAACATGGAGGCTTCTCCTGGGTTTCCACTCTCCCCCTCCTCTCTCTCGCTCTCTCTCTCTCTCTCTCGCTCTCTTTTCCTCTCTCTCTCTCTTTCCTCCGCGTCTTCTCTCCGTGCGCCGAGGCAATCCAAGGCACCAAAAAAAAAGAAAGAAGAAGAAAAAAAAAAAACAAAGAAAATCCCCAAGGTA